TTTTTATGGTAATGTGATTTTCTGCATGACTGTGTTTGATAGAGTGGGAGAGCTAGCAGTAGTAAAAGTAGCAGAAGTCGTAAAGCAAGTGCAAAGAGTGTAAAAAGTCAGGTCAGTGAAAATGAGACCCAGCAAGACAAAGAAGGGGAAAGTAAAGAAGGAGAAAAAGATGGTATGTTGTAAATATTGTTTGCATGATTCATCATATACTTTATTTTTTCATTTATAGGCACTTCTGCATGATGTGTTAAAAGAGTATTCAAATTTCTGGTATTGCAAGTTCAATACTTGAGAGAGGCACTAACTGATGGTGGTACTTGTCTAAAAATATTTAGATATTTTTGTTAAGAACTGTATATTTCCAGATACAGGGCTTATCAAGGGTTGCCACTTGTTTGCTCTCACATGTGGCCTTAAATGTTTATAGGTCTGCACTTTGTACATTTAATAAGACAGGTCAAATTATCCCAAGTCAAATTGAAATGATGATGATCATCATTGTTAAATTAAGCAACAAATTCTTACCTTTTTGGGGTAGGGGTTTACTTGTTCAATAAAGTGTTATTTTCAAATTTCATGAAATCAGGTGAAGGAGGGGAAGAAAAACCTGGTTCTGCTGATCAAGCAGTGGATGAGGCTGCTGGGGCAGGTTTGGAAGGTGGAACAGAGGAAGAAGAGGAAGAAGATGATGATGTTGTCAACTTGAGAGCATTTAGTGCCATTGGTCCTGTCATGGTTATTGAACTGTTAGATCTTCCCCCTCAACCAAAACTTGCCAATGGGTGGATTATGCAGCAGAGTAAGGGCTTCTAAGTATTTCTGTATCATTTCATAGTTAATGAACTTTTCACTAAGAAAAACTTATAAGTGTACATTAATATCGGGGTGTTTTAGGGAGAGGAGCCCTGCTTAATAACAAATTATTGTCTTTGAAAGCAAATTAAAGTTTGAAAGTATGCCATTTGAATTACATAGTGTTTCTCAGTGGTTAACAAAGTTGGAACATCTTTTGCCATTTATCATTTTAGTTGTATCATCAGAACTCAAAAGAGTCAATTATCAAGATGAAGGGCAGACTCCAGCAGATTCAAACTCGACAACAAGCACCCCTGCTCCTCCCAACTCAGCATCAGCCACACAGGTGCAAGCAACCAATCCTCCAGTGATAATTACTTGCAAGTGAGTTTCCTTGGATAGTGCTTCAGTATGTACTTTCAGTTAAGTAGCAACCACAAAAGGGACTTTACTCCCTACAGCTAGGTAATATTGTTAGCTGGAATAGATAAAATGTATTTTAATTATTTTCATGATGTTTTAGGCTTCCAGGAGATGTTATGTATTTTGAGCAACCTCAGCTGGCACTGTGGGACTCTATTAAGAACAATTGGAGGCTTGATGCATTTGAAGACTCCCAGTACAATGAAGGTTTGCAATGATTTTACAAACGTAATCATAACAATCAACAGTGTTCTTTATAATCGTTCACCTTTGAGTGCAACACTCAGTCAACTGATACTGATTTAAGTAACCCTCTTAGACTAGTCTATGACTGAAGCAGATTCACAGCAGCCCAATTTTCAATTTGGAATGATCAAAGATTATTCCAAGATCAGCTGTTTCTTGTTTTCAACAATTATAAATATGCCGTGAATTTCTAAGTCATTCAACAATCAGGGCGATAATATGAAAAGCTCTTCAGAAAAAAAATTGAAAAAAAAGCTAGAACTCTAAGGAGTGCTAAGCTGCTGGATCGTGGATTATCAGTAAAACTTTAGGATACTCTTGTACCATCCTTGTCTTTTTTACAGAGGAAAGAACTGTGATATTCAAGATGTCTACCTTCGGGCCCATTGCTACTTTTCAGGTAATTAAATTTTTGAATAATTATCATTTTCAGCAGTAGTTTCAGCATCTAAGGCTTAGATGGTTCTTATTTGAAAGTTATTATATATTAATCTCAACTGGACTTCATGTTAGAAAAAATAAAAAGGTTTTTGAAATTTTCTGACTGACTTAAGAAGTCATTTAAAGACCTAACAAAGTAAAGGTGGCAATAAGACCATAATTGTCTCGAATAATTCATAAATCCCTTATTGATATGTACACTTCTTACATTTTACATTTGTTATGATAATTATTATGGCTACTTTTTGTTATTTTTGCAGGATCTTTATCTGAACATGCCATTTCAGTCATGGGAGCTCCGTCCTCATGCCACTAATAGTTGCCTGTTTACACTCCTTGCTGCTATCATTGAACTGGAGATTGAAATTAAGGTTAGCAAGCATGTTTAGCAAGAAGTGAAACAGTGCTGATGAGCGACACAGTAACAATAATCTCTGCCTCTATTGCTGTACTTTGCTACATTTATGTTTAACTTTCCATGCTCACTCTAATAGGATACTTACATTCTCCACTACATAACACAAACACAACCTTCTTCCCTCACTATGCTCCAGTGAAAGATTTGCTAAATACTGTTTGATAATCACCTAGGAGTTTAATCACATACAAATCTATCTATTTTTATGTCATTGAAAGGAATTTCATGATTAGATGTTTTTGGGGGCATTTGACTGTGAATTTAATCTTCTTTGATTCAGGATTCTTTGTGTTCACTGACCCGGCCAGACGATGTTCCAGAGCTTGCTCATTTGAAGGGAAAGTGGATGGCGCCATATAAGTTGATTGAGGTATCTTGGACTGTCATCATTGTTAACAACAATTTACAGTAACCATTAGCATATTAGAATCATTTAGCGTATAACTAACTTAAAGGGACTATCATAATGATAAAATGCATGGTGCCAAGTAACTCTGTAAGCTATAGGTAGGGTAAACTTCAGGATCTATAACCTATATAATGTCTAGTTTTGTTTAACAATCCTCTGAATAGCCAAAGCTTAATGTTTTGTACACTTTAGCCTCCATACTAACTCCCATCAAGTAAAGTTAAAGGTGACACAAATCTCCCTCTTTCCACATCCCTCTGCATCACTGCTCGGTGAATGTGATATAACTTAATTGTTTGAAAGAGGTGTAGACTGATGAACTGACCAAATTGTATATATAGGCCATGCAAAAGGCTGGAGTGAATGTTTTTCCTGCCGTTGATGCAGAGAAGTACGTCAGCTTAAATTCCAAGGTACCTGTAGATAATTATGTGTTGCATATAATTACTTTTATAATTACTTCAGCTGTGCAGTGAAAGGTCTTCCCAGCAGAAGATTTTTTACCACAATCATGCAGCATTTTATTGTTATCACTTATTTGGTTGATTACTGGGATGCAGGTGCTCTGTACATTGCACAAAAAAAGTGCCGTATTTTTTGTAATCACCTAATGCAGCACTTCTTATTTTCAAAATAAGAATTCTTTTTAGTGTTTTTTAAGAAGCAGGAAAACTCAAGAGGATAAATGCCATAGTTGCACTGTAGGTGCAAAAAGTTGTATCTTATAATGCATAACTATGTGGCATTTAAAAATGTGAAATACCTCTCAATTATAGGAGGATTGGCTGGAAAGCAACATTTACCAGGAAATGGCATTGACAGCTTCAGCATTTGCTTACACATGGAGTAAATGGAATGCTGACTGTGGTAAAGATAAAATTATCATACAAGCTGTTGAGCAGCTGGAAGATGAACAGCCTCTAGAGGTAGTTCTAATCTTTTCTTTTTGAGACTTCAGCTCATCTTCACATTTTCCTTAACAAGTTTTATTTAGGGGGATCCTTAAAATCAATGTTCCTGAATTTCTTAATCTCTTAACTTCTTCTTCATAGCAGCTCCAAGTTAAGCTTGTAAAGTAATTTTTCCTTTTATAGCACCTAGAACTTCAGTGATGGATGTCTTTCCCTGGGGTGGGATGGGTGGGTGGGGTTAGGTGGATGAACCTAGTAGGGGACTACGTGTGCTATTGTTCTTCCACCTGTGCAATGTAAAAAACTTTAGAAACAAAGAAAAATAGGGTGAGAATTTCCTGATATACAACCCATAATGGGCTCCTCATTCAAGAACAATTTTTAGAATCTGATTTGCCATGATCTCCAAGGAAAGATAGATCTGAAAGATAAAACTTTAATTTTTTTCTTATCTCTACCAACTGATGGCTTTGATGTGGCTTTTATAACGAAGCCTACAGTGTACAGTATATCATTTTTCGATAACACAAATGTACTTTCTTTTTGGAAAACAGGAGGATTGGTCATTGTTTAACATAGGGACACATAGCTCTTGTAAGCTAAGAATGAAAGAGGAAGACAGTGAGCTTTCTCATGACATTGCTGAAAATACACAGGTGTGTTTATCGGTTACTTTGACAGTTGTATGTATTATTTAAAAACATTTTTTGGCACATCTTTGTTGGGCAGGTTGTCAACATGTCTATTTTGTTTCAACAAGATGCTCGTACAAGTCATTTGCTGAATTGGCTCTCTCTAAACGTGTTTAACATTTTTTCTTGTAGCTTCATTCTGATCTTTACCATATGGTGCTGGATGGAGCTTCAGAAGAAGCACAACAGAGGGTGAAGACCTCTCACTTTCTATTTATTGACTGTGTGTATCAGCTACTAAATGCAACAAAAATTATCACATACTCATAAAAAAATTTTATTCTACAATTTTGCTGGGTCGTGTGGATTTAAATGAATGTGGTAATGCTATTGTAGGTTCCTGGCTGTGTTGCACAGTTCTCAACCACTATTTGAGGCATTTCAGTCTTCATGCATCTAAATTATTTCATTTCTTGATGCTTGTGAATTACATTTACAAGGAAGTAATTGTTTTGTGTTAGGTTTGTGCATATTTGTATTATGAAATCATCGAAGTGTCGAGAACCTTTCTTGTTGGTCATGTTTTAGATTACATGTGCATTGATGGAAGTAGCGGATGATACTTAAATTTTTGTGAATTGTATGATTAATTAGGACAAAAGAATCATATTGTACTTGCAATATTCATTCTGATCTTAACCCTACTTCCTGAAAATATCTGTATATGAATAAATTTTTTTTTATTTCAACAAGATTACTTTCTATAATAACTTGGTTAAGCAGATCATGTTGACAATCAATAAATAACCCTGATTTTAAAGTTTGCAGGTCAAGAATGATATGTAGCATCATAAAAAAAATATAGATAGCATACTCTAAAAAGCCCCATCATATTAGTTAAAAGTGATAATCGTATTTCAATAGTATTCAAAAACAGAATCCCACGTCCTTTGACATCAAAACATCTGGCGTGTAGAAATCTATACTTGTGCTAACATGCTTTGAAGAGACCTCCGCACACTTGAAAAGTCGTGTTGTTGCTAAAGGCAAGAACATAGGAAAGGCTTATTAAAAATCGTTGATCATCTGGGATAAAGGAGCGTCATTTGCTTTCACGAATACTTGGCTTCGTAATAATTTAATTCCTGAAATTTTCCTTTATTAAAAGCTTTGTGCTTTAGCGTCGAAGAGAGTTTATATTACTATACCGTATCCATCAGGATCTTTTTTTGCAAGATGTTGATCTCCTTCCGAAGTTGCTCCTGGACACTAACTTGTTGGGACTCGTGACTTCTCTGCATTTGTTGCATGTTCTTAGTATGTTCTTCATGAAGCTGACGTACCCGTTTGAGTCTTTGACTCTGTACAATGCGTTGCTGCTGGAACAGCTTTTGTTGCTGTTTGTACAGATTCTAGGTAAATGGAACAAGCATATCAATTGTAGCTTCTACTTGGCTGATTAAATGACTAATGTCAGACGGTCTGATTGATTGATGGATGGGTGCGATGGTAGTTAATGGTCTGACTGACCGAAAAACTGACTGACTGACTGAAAGGAATTTGAAGGGGTTAAAACATTAGCTTTTCAAACTTTTCTGGTCGATTGTTCAATACCTCTAACTTCTCTTCTGCTTCTCTTGTCTTTTGCAAATCTGTTTCCCACTGGTTGAGCACATTCATAACCTGTCTGCTGAATTCATCATAATGAGTGCTTCTAATGAGAAAGTCAAAAAAGTCAAAAAAATGATCTTGGTAGTAAGGCACACAATTGTTCATTCGGTCTTTATTTTCGAGACTAAGAATTTCACTCGTAGGGATCTACAGTACGGAGATGTGATCATGATCATTTTTTTACCTTTCGTGCTGCTGTGAACGCCACACCTCCTCAAACTTTCGACTGCTTGCCTTCATTGAGGCTTGTGTGAAGGTTTGAATTCTCTTGCGTTTGGCTGCTAACGTCTTTGTTATGTCAGCTAAAAGTAAAAATCCAAGAGAAATATGTTGAGCCACTTTTCTTATTTATTTCAGCAGTGTAGTAAAGAAGTTGTTTCTGACCTCCAAAGCTGTTCAACATTCCTTGCATCTCAAGATCACTTCCGCTGTAAGAGAAGAATTAATGACAGAAACAGTAATAGAAATAAAGGCCCTGTATAAGACGCTGATCACTCTCCAATTAGCCCTTTTAGGCTTACAGTTTGGATAGTAAACCGCACTACTTTACCTGAGTACTGCCATATTGACTCGCGTCGTTGTTGAAGATAAAAGGAATAAATGACAGGCTCTTGTTTAGATCGCAACTAAGCGTTTAGAGAGTTTAAAAGAGTTAGACGATTTCAGGATTCTTTTTACTGCTTAGATTAACGTACCCCTTGTCATATTCATCATCTTCGGGATCAGAATCTTGGAACTCCGAAGCAGGTGTAGCAGCCTGTCTCTTTTTTGCCTTGACCACCTGTTCAGGTTTTTGTTGCTGTTGTTCAGGTTTTGCTGTAGCGAGGAATGATCAGTTGTTGTCAAAGAAAGCAGGGGTAACAGGTGGTTTTATCTCTCTAGATAAAGAGATAGACTTCTTGTTCAGGCTCATATGGATGGCTTCCTTATTTCACAGTAGCTAAATGAAATGGCCTCCCCACACTAAATGAACCAAAATTCTCAACATGTGGGCTTACAACTTTAATATAGCAATACTCTCCTAAGAATTAACAGGGATCCAAATGCAAGCTCGCATGGTTTTAAAGTCACTATGATCGACAATGAACATTTTCCGCGACAGATATCAAAAGATGAATTATTTTCCCGAAGTAATCCACAAACATATTCGTACTGCCTAGGCAGCTTTTTGTTGTTGCTCAGGGTTTCACTCGGAAGGTAAAAAACCATATGATCAAAGAAAATGAGACAAATTTTAACATTTTTCTAAATCAACGCATGGGTCCATGTTCATAATCATATGAACGGTTTTCCCATTCACTCAGGAAATCACAGGGATCTCTATAAGAATTATAACTCAGTAAAGTCTATCACATGCAAAAATTTAGTCGTGACTGGTCGACTTTGAAAATAATTCCCAACGTACTTAGCGTTTAATTTCATGAATTGGAATAGTTTTTTTGTACCAAATTCATACCGAGATAGAACGGTTTTCAAAAACTTAAACTTACCTTCAGAGAATTTGAACTCGTCTTCATTTTCGTAAAACTCCTTTAGATTTTCTGTGCACTTAAGAGCGCTAGCCTTTCCTTTCTTTGGATTGGAGGGCATGATAAACTTGTACACGAGGAAACTTGGAAAAACAAAACACCACATTATTGGACCATATTAAAGAGAAGTAATACGGACAAATTACATATGTTTACTGCGTAAGGGTCAGAGTATTTTTTATTTCGCTCATAATATCATTATGGGCTTTCACGTCAATTGTGGAGAATACATGCTCGGGCAAAATTCAAGCTTGTGATTTAGATTAGGAGGCATGAAAGTTTCGCCAAACTCCCCCTCTCTGCGCAACCTAAACAAGAAGAAAGCCCGTGGCTTTCTTATGATTATTCTGAAGGGAAAAGGGTTCTCAAGTGCTGCAACATTAAATTACAGAAGGAAAAGTAACGCTTATCATACCTGAATAAATTTTGTTTCCTTTGATTCAATCGAGTGCCGCCTCACAGATATTTTCCCGGGCTTTTCAACCCGCGTCATCGCGCGAAGAAGAGTGGCGGGAAATTGTTGGACGCAGACCTCCGATAAAAAGCCGAGCGAGGCTGGTGGTGTGAGGCTTTAGGGCCATCAGTTAATTGGGCTAAACGAGAGAGTATCTTTTCGATTCCCTTTTCAAGGGCATTATCGGAGAATATTCGTTATCAAGCGAGTGGAAGTTAAGCTAGGATGGGGAGCTTCGGGAAATGAAAAAAGGAGGAAATCATTTATCATTATTAAAAGCCCGATATTCGAAATTTTTGCTAAACGCAAGCTAAATTTTATGCACAATTGTATGGGATTGTGTGAGTTTCGGGAAGAGTGGAAGGTTTTCTTTTCTTTTTTTTTCTTTTTTTTTCTTTTTAGTTGCTAGATCACTCGAGGACCGAAGAATGAAGACTTATTCCCAGGAATTACGAGTACTTCCTACCATTCAGAAAATTCTTCTTACTGGAAATCAAGTAAATTTCTTAAATCAGCAGCAGATTTTTGAGTGGTAGGCTAGGGGGAACGAGGGGGGCTAAAGAGCGTATGAGCTTCAGTCAACACGGCAAGGGATGGGGGTATGCTTGGCTGGGCGAGTTTTGTTTTCTATGAACGGTCCCTGATCGAGGGCAAGAATTTTTCTCTATTTACTTATTCAAGGACGTGATTTCCAGGAATAAATAAAATAGTGTTTAGCACACTCGTGTGGTATTTATCCTATCATCGGCTGAACTGTTTTCGATATAATGAACGCCCACCAACGTGACAAGACTCGGGCGGGTACATCGCTCTGACAAATCATTCGATCTTAAATAGACGTACTGTAATAGGCGTACTGTAACACGCACCCCTCCCCTAACCCAAAATTAAGATTTCTTTGTTATCAGCTGACTGTTTTGGGGTAAGAAAAGGGGTGGGCATGCAGTTGCTCAAATACTGACACCAATCCATTGTAATGTAGCTAACACTCAAAATCATATTTTACAAACCTCCGTAACTTCAAGTTTTACAGTAATGACATCAGCCCCATATTGATGATACAGCTCACCATATTTATGAAGATGACGGCTTTTGGCCAAAAGCCATCCAAAGAGGACCACCACTGGCCGGACGTCACCTCCTTGTCTATACTTCTCTGGGCATGGATAGACTTCCATGCTTTGTTTGACTACACTGCAGTGTAAAGGCCTGGATGAAAAGAGCCATAAGGTCTTGGATACAGTCAGCTGTCAAAAGAGGGAGTAAAATAGTAGTACCGGTATATGATTATAGATTCTGTTACATAAAAAGTACAGGGTTCATTTGCTAACAAGGGCACAAGTAAAATTCTCGAGTGGGGAAAAGATGTGCATTAGTTTGCCTGGGGAAAGGGAAGTACCAAAGGTTTTTCTAATATTTTTTACACTCATTTCCACCATATTTGTTTATGCCTAAAGAAAAAGACTAACCATTCTTTAAACATGTAAAGTGTAGATTATTAGTTGTCCTTTCTAGCCAGTTAACCGTAATTTCCGGCCGTTTACCCGCGGGTAATCTGTTGATTTTGCCTTAAACACGCGCCACGGCAGGCAATAGGGAGGTGCGGGTTGCGTGACAATTTTCAGAAATCTGCTGGTAGTTAATAATAATAATAATAATAATAATAATAATAATAATAATAATAATAATAATAACGAATTTTTATACAGGATTGAAAACCCATCAGTGTATAACACTGTTCAGTCGAAAAAAATTCTCACCTTCTTGAGTTTCTACCTCTCAAATCAATTTTATTGTATTAAGAGTGCCACAAAACGGCACGAAAACATGACGCCGACTCTAGTTTATTTCACGCACAGTTACTTGTGCGACGAACAAATTTTTATCGGCACGCGTGTAAACAAAACCTTGATGGTGACAAAAATAATCCAAGGGTATCCGGCGCATCAGTAACAAATTTCCCGATGTGACGAAAACGAAGACCCAAAAACGAAGACCTAAAAACCTAAGACCCCCTGGTCTAAAACGAAGACCCTGAGGTCTAAAACGAAGACCCATTGTTCTAAAAACGTTTTTTCAAGGAAAGGTTATAAATTGCTCTCATTTCTGTAGCGCATAAATTAAAATGTCATCTGAGCGCGCGACCAACTTGAAAGTTACGTTATCTCAGTCAGTACAACGCATCTCAGATTATCTCCCGTCAGTTTTCAAGTTTGGTATACGACATTTTTTACCTACATCAAAGCCGCGACAGTTCTATAACTGTTGTTCTCTTCTACGCGTGCGTAATATATAATCAATTACAAATTTCCCCGGGTACATTGACACGTGTTGTGTGCGCTCAGATGAATCGCGCCCAGAAGACATTTTAATTTATGCACTGCAGAAATTTAGTCTGGCGGGAGATCATCCTTGTATCCTGTGGTGAATAAATTAGCGAGTCACGCACAGTTGGCCTTTGCGCCTTTAGATGATAAAGACAGTGTAGCAAGGTAATGAAGTCAACTCATCGTAATTTGCTCAATATGCATTTGAAAAATAGAATATTTGTGACGACAAAATATACCAAAATCGTCACTAAAACGTATATTTCTATATTCTTAGAATTTAATTCCGTTACACAATTTATACATGTGTTGTACCGACTAACTGTCAAGTTGGTCGCGCGCTCAGATAACATTTTAATATATGCGCTACAGAAATGAAAGCATTTTAGCTTAGTGTATAGCCTTTCCTTAAAAAAAAGGTTTTTAGAAGAATGGTTCTTCGTTTTAGACCAGTGAGTCTTCGTTTTAGACTACAGGGTCTTCGTTTTAGACCACAGGGTCTTCGTTTTAGACCACAGGGTCTTTGTTTTAGACCGCAAGGTCTTCGTTTTAGACCACAGGATCTTCGTTTTAGACCACGGGGTCTTCGTTTTAGAACACAGGGTCTCCGTTTTAGACCAGTGGGTCTTAAGTCTTAGGTCTTCGTTTTTGCGTCTTCGTTTTCGACACATCCCAAATTACCAGTTAACACTAGCTTGAGCTAAAGAGAATTTTCCCGTTTTAAGGGACTTGTTAAGCCCAGTGGAACCGGAGATATCGATTTTTTTGAGAAATCAACAATTCAACATAGCGTTGAACGATCGCTCACACAAAATGTGGCCACGAATTCACATTCTGTCGAGTGTGAAACGTTGTGAATTCTAGAGCCTTTTTGTACAAATTTTCTTTGCTTTTAAGGTGTGGGTTATCCGCCAGTGCGGGTAATCTGTTGACGGCTTTTTTTTTCGCCATATGCAATAATCGGTCGGTGCGGGTAATCGGCCGTGCGGGTTTAACGGCCGGAAATTAAGGTAAATAGGCCAAAATAGGTCAGTGGTCCAGGTGACTTGTACATCATAGGTACATTACTGCCTCCCAACCTCCCTCCTTGAAAAAAATTGTTACGTTTTCCCTGAAGGGTTATGTGCTGCTCATCATGTGAACCAATCTACAAGTTTCACTTGGTTACGGATTAGATACAAGAACAGAGGATGCTAGCAAAGTACAGATCAGATACAATGTATATATGAAGTTCATATATTTTGAACTGCGGTATTAGATACGTATGATGCACGATCCTCGCAGTAGAGAGCGCTATTTATGCGCTATTTATGCGCTATTTATGCGCTGCACTAGTATCGCAGAGGTCAGTGGTTCGAATCCCATACAGGCCTGATTTTTTTCAGGTCTGATTTTCGCTATTGCATAAATAGCGCTCTCTACTGCAAGGATCATGCATCATACGTAAAGTACATATCAATAACAAATTTTCTGCCACATTAATAGTTTCTTGTCCCCTTGTATCTACAGATGGTTTATTCGTCCCTTCCCGGTAAAAACTTGATGAGTGGCTATATATTCTGAAGATGAAATTTCATTAGTCAAACTTAATTGTTTCAGCAAGTTGCTTACATTTTATGGTTGGTGGGTACTAAAGTGTCACTTCTGCTGCTAAATTAATTTAAAAGATTGATTTTGAAAGAGAGTTGGGGTTCACTGACACAACATTGAAAGGCTTTAAAAAGAGAGAGAGGCACATTTTAATTCAAGAAAACTACGGAGCATAAATTAAGTATTAATATTATTATCCAGCTGCACTTAGAAGAGTACAAATAATGAGCAAGTTGAGTACAAATATCTACCATAATTTGGACTACGCTTCTCTACCTGTATCGCCTTTTCCCGCCTTATTATAAAAATGCATATACAAAGCAGTTGGATAATAAATAACTTGCCAGGCATTTTGGCGCATAGATTCACTGTGCACTTTTATTCCCTCTCTCTCTTTTGACTTGTCCTCAGGGCTTGTTAAAATACTATACAATCCATAAAAATAACCACTGATACCACACACCAAAATGGACAAGAAAAGTATATCTATTATGACAATGTTTATCTTACTTTGACTTCACACAACAAATTAACACAAGTTATAAAAGCATACAGCCATGAGACCGTCTAGCACACGTTGCTAAATTGGTGATCGACTCATGCCTTGAATCAAGTCGGCAATTGTTTCAAATGATAAAAAATATTTGTCCTCTGATAGATCAATAGAAAGAAGCGATCAAATTCCTGTAAGCTTCAGCTTATAATCATGTTAAATGGGATTCAGAGTTTAAATAAAACATCAAAATTTTACATATTTCTCTCAGCTTGTGTTCTCCTTGATACGTCCCACCAAGACCACGTAACTGATAGTTTTGTTACTTCTCTTTCCCTGTCTGCTGGACATTAAGCATTGAATTATCATGGGGAATTCATATATTAATTGCTTAGTGACTCCTTAGTGAGTCAATGCATTTCATGAATACTTGGCCAACAAAGAACTATAAGTGTCTTATAAAAGGATTTAAGTCAAGATTTTGAAGAGCGTTTTCATCGTGAAACTGATGAACTTGTTCAGAGCACATTCTCTAATTAGATCATATGTATAAATTTATGACGTGCTGACTCCATCACAAGTCGACGATAAAAATATTTGCATTCAAAATAACGAATATAATCTGTGGTTCTTTACAAGTCGGGTAAAAAAAAAAATAAAAGCACTAGCTGACATCACGTGTTGCAAACAATAGTATGGTTGAGTCAGTAAATCAGTCTTTATATGTACTCTTCGTATTTGATCAGAATAACGGGTACACAAACGAAAGTATATGATAACGAGTACAGATATTTGTACACCTGAGAACAGGTTAGTCAGGTTTTCCCGCATTGCTCAAGCGACGAATTAGATTTAAGTTACGAAAAAATTGGCGGACAAATTATTTTTCTGACGACGAAGGGTCGGAATGGCTGGCGAATATTGATCCAAGTTTACGAGCTAGGTATATCGAGCGAAGAAAAGCAGTTAGACGACAATGAAATTTCATCATTTATTGAAGAAAAGAGAAACAGGAACACGACAACGCGCTATACTTCTGTCACGCGCTCCTCGTAAATGCGCCCGCACTGAAATAACAATTTGGCGTGTTGGATAATAAATACGGCACAACTCGTGAAAATACTCAGCGATACTATACAACAAACCGTTTGATGATATATATATATATATAGATGATATG